TGGCAGCACCACTAAAATTCACCCCCATCTAATTATTTTTATTTTTTTTTAAATACATGGATGCAGCCACCTTCAGTGGTACCCTGACCCACAAATCCTGCCCGAGTTGGGGTTCACATCTCAACCCGCCGGCGGGGCCGGGGCTGCCTGGGCACAGGGCAGCTCTGCCCCAGCGATGCCCCCCACCTCCCTCCATGCAGGATAAAGCCCTCGCATCTCACGCCAAGGTGCTCACACTCTTTTTCTCGTTTGCCCCAACGCAGGATGAGAATATATTTCCTTTTTGCGCTCTTATACAAAGGATGCTTCTCTTTTTTTTCTCACCCAGCAGATGGTGGACCAGCAATTTAAGGTCGGGACTCAGAGCAAGGTGAGCAGGTAGCTGGGAAGAACAAAATATGGTTATGCTCTAGTGACCTTTTCTCAGCAGCCTCTAGAGGGGAAGGAGTTAAAAAGTCAGCTGTCATAACACATCTTTTTGTCATAGAATCATAGAATGGTTTAGGTTGGAAAGGACCTCGGAGATCATCGAGTTCCAACCCCCCTGCCCTGGGCAGGGACACCTCCCACCAGCCCAGGTTGCCCAAGGCCACCTCCAGCCTGGCCTTGAACACCTCCAGGGATGGGGTCTCTTTTATTTTCTTGGCACAGAACATATTTTGCCCACCCTGAGCGGTGACACCCAGCCACTGACGGGGCAAATTATAGTAAAAACCAAAGAGGAACGTCTGATGATCTTCAAGGTCCTTTCCAACCTAAACCATTCTATGATTCTGTGAGTCTGTGATGTAATGGGGAGAGATCTGATAGCCTCTATGGAATTCTGGAGCTTTAATTCCTGGGGCTGGATCATAGAATCATAGAATCATAGAATCATGGAACAGTTTGGGTTGGAAGGGACCTTGAAGATCATCCAGTCCTACCCCCCTGCCCTGGGCAGGGACACCTCCCACCAGCCCAGGTTGCTCCAAGCCCCGTCCAACCTGGCCTTGAACACCTCCAGGGATGGGGCAGCCACAGCTTCTCTGGGCAACAAAATAAGAATTTTGGATGGGGAGATAACGGTAGAAGTTCCTACTTCCCTGTGCCGAGAGAAAGAGAGCTGCCCAGTCGCTGCGCGACAGAGGAAATGCCATTTCATAGATTAAGGGAAAGTTCAAAATCAGGACGTGGGCATATCGGGGCTGCCCGAATTACAGGCACGTGTGCAGCGTGTGCCAGGGGCTCTGCTCTCGGCTGGCCTTGGGGACGGAGCCCGCGTCCCTGGGGCTGGCCCCCCCCGGTGCCCCCGAAAGTGCCGCACAACCAACCATCCAACCCCGGGTGGGAGTTCTGCTGCTTCCAGGAGAGCCTGGCCTCTCGCGCACACTGCATGTGAAATCAGAAGCCCTCAAACAGCGTGAATACGTAGCCGTTTATTAAAGTAATAAAAAGTGGACTGGAGAAAAGACATTTAAACCGAACAACTTTTGAAAGTTTAATATAGCTTTAGATAAAACTGAGCTTGCAGTATTAATGAATACAAGAGTTAGTTATTTTGTATAATTCAAATAAACTTGTACATTTATACAGTTATAGACTGCATGCCAGAAAATGCATTTAGTTCGTTCTAATTTGAATATGTACAATTTACAATATAATTCAAGCATAAATTCAGCAGTAGAGAACACAGACCGGCTGTGCAATCAGTTACTTTTTCTTAGCATAAGCATTAGGACTGGGCTAAAATGTTAATTAGGAAAAAAAACCAACCCAAACAGCGGTCACACCAACAAAAATGAAATATTAACCAGAAATAACTTCCCAAAATGAGTAACTAAAGTTATCACCCATGTTTGTACTTTCACTCTGATTTATGAAAGACACATATGTTGTCACCTTCACATACATAACGCATCGCAATACAAGCCACGAGCCTCGGAAAACTCGCATCCAGCAAGGACAGGTGCATATTTTCATTTAAAAAGCCAAACTTTTCAGTTAATCATAACTTAATATTTCCTCTGGCATTAATTTAATAACAGTGAGGATACTTTCCCAGTGTTTCACATACGTTCAGATTCATTTATACAGGCTACGAAGCCACAGCCACTCAGATTGCCTCTATATTTTAAGGCTACGGCACTTCTCCCTGTCACCTATTTGAAGCTCAATTTGCAGAACACATCCACGCTGCTCCGATTTAATTCAGCCTTGTACACAGAGTCGACCCAAAGCTTCCCAAAGCAGAAGGCCCCTTGGCTCTCCCACAGGCAGGACCTGCGGCCGCCCTGCCAGGACACGGGTGGCCAGGCTCCGTCCCTGCAGGTGGGAGGACACTGGTGGCCCCAGGGCACGGCGAGCCAAACGCCGTTGCTCCTCATCTGGGGATGCACCACGTTTACTTTTCTGTAAAGAAAAGTCATCCAGACCACGAGCCATCCCCCCCAAGCTGAGCGCTTGAGGTGGTGGGACAGCCTGACAAAAACGGGCAGCCCCTAGGTGGGACTTTGATGTCCCAGGGAGGGTTCCCCACCTCGCAGCTGCACTTTCATACCAAAGCCATGATCCTGGGGGCACCGCCACCACAGTAGTGTCACCGAGGGAGACATTGGGTCACCCTCCGGCAGCATCCCGGGAAGGAGGCAGTGGTCCTGTGGAGCATAAACCAAGGTGGGTTTTGAGGAGAGGGCAAGCTGCTGGAGACCCCGCTCCCAAAACCAGACGCATCTGCCCCAGCCTGCTGGCAGGACTCATCACCGGCTTGTGCCACGGCCGAGTGCTCGCCGTGCCTATTAACGTTCTTGGCTCTCTGGGTTGGACTTGGTGGTGTTTCTACTCTTGACACCCGGTGACTGTACATGGCTATTCTTGCTGTCAGCCAAGGACTGGTAGAAGAGTTACACGTGGTACAAAAATCAGCGGTATTTTACAAGGCGACCTGAGGCAGTGTTAGCAAACGGGGGAAAAGAAGTCCAGATTTTACCGTGCGGCATCAGCAATGGGCTGATGGTGCGCGCAGGACCTGCACGCAGGGAGCCACGCACGCCCTGCCCTCCAGCAAGAACCTGCAGGGAGTTGAAGTATAGCCAAAGGTGTAGAAAGCATGCAGTGCCACTCAAAAACCATGAGAAACGGTGAAAAGAAACTTTGGAAGTCCATATAAAGTCCTTGGGGGTACAGCTGATGGCTCATACGCTGCAATTCCAGGGAAAGCACTGAGCCACAGTGGTGTCTGAGCCAACCCTCCAGCAGTGCCGAGTTTCTGAGCTCTTATTCCATGCCAAGATTTGCAACAAAAACAAATTATTTTTTTTTTTCTCAAAGATCATCAGATCTCTTGTTATTAGTCACGTAGCAAGCGTCAGCATTTGTGCAGGATGGTCCAGAGCCCGCGAGTTAGAAGTGCCCATCCACCACTCGCAGCTCTGCGAGCACCTCCCGCCCCATGCGTGGCGGTGCCTGCGACCGCCCGGCTGTGGTCTCCAGGGTTTGACACACAGACCGTGTCCTGCAGAGCCCTCTCCTGCCCGCTCTTGGTGGTGGGTTTTGTACCCGGTGCTCTGACAGTGCTGCCCATCCCTCCACCTCGCCCAGACCTCCTCCTCCATGAAGGAGCCCTCAGGAACCCACCATGACCTGGACCCCCCAACTCAGATCATGGACCACGGGTGTCCCTGAGCACCACAACCGCTGACCTCCCGCATTTTGGGGAGGGTGCAGGGCGGCGCGGGGTGCTCCAGCACCGCAAGGCACGGTGACGGGGGCACCCACACAGCCCCCAGCCCTCCTGGCTCAACCCCACCGCAGCGACACGAGATGGAATAGGAAACCCAAACCCAAGCAGGGAAGGATATCCAACCAAACATTTATACAAAGTATTACTCATTTTGAAACCCACAGGGTCAACATCAGTTAAGAACATGTTTAAACATCATTTTCACCATAGAGAAAGCAGTAAGGAGCGACGCCGCTGGCAGTGCAGCCAGTGTGCCTGCCAGATTTGGGACCTGCCGCGCCGCGCCGGCTGCCGCACCGGGGCTCACCCAACCATCGCCGGCATCGCCGCAGGGCTGGCACAGCCCAGGGAGCCAAATCCGGGCACTGCGGAATCAGGGGGAGTTGCCACTCTGCTTTTGGGGTGCAGTCCGTCCAGAGCAAACGCCTGCTTGGCTTCATGGAGGCATTCAGCTCTTTGCATGTTTAGCTATTCTATCGACATGAGAAATCAAGCACGTCCTGCTTATTTAAAAGGGGTTTCTTGCACATACGTTATAAAGCACGAAGATTTTAAAAAATTTTTACTAATCGTATCTAAAGGGTGAATTTTACTCATTTATTTATTGTTTTGCCTAGGCTCATTAATACAAGTTTCTGCTCTAAACAATGCCTTATGAAATACATTTTAATATTTTTCCGGCAGCCTAGACGCAGGAAAAGCAACCCCAAGAAAATGTTAAAGCAAAATAGAAACCAGCAGTTAATTTAAGGCTAGCAGATTTGGTGTGAGGAATTAACTAATACACCTTCTTTCGAGAAAAAAGACATGCACCATAACTACTTCGTTGAACAAAACATCACGATCCACATCAGAAAAAAAAACCAACCCAAAACATTATCAACTCAAATTATAACTTAACCTGAAAGTTACCCACTCGCGTTTTTTACCTACTACTTAGCCTTAAGAAATACAGGGGACAGGAACGCCCCTTTCCATATTTTTCAGAATATACAGTATAAATATAGTAGGAGTCATGCCATAAAACTATATGCAAAAATTGCACACTATTATTGCATGCGTGTTGTGATACTACATGCCAACGGTCATCGGCTCGCCCATCGTCCCGTCGTTCCTACTTACAGCGCAGCCACCGCTGCCTGGGGGATGCTCCTGCCTCCCGGCGCGCCGGGGACCACCGAGTTCCGCACAGGTCGGGCTGGCGGAGGGCCGGCTCCCCTGCCCACCCTGCCCTCGCCAGCAGCAGTTCAAGCTCTAAGCGACAGCTCCGAGTCCCGTCGGGTTATGTAAACCGGTCCGAATTCATTTTCCGCAGTTTGGGTGGCAGGTTCCCTTCCATCCTGCCGCCGCCCGACAGCTTCTGCAGCTTGGGCGGCAGGTCGGCCACCGACTGGCTCATCGGATCCGACATCATCTTTGTGGTTTTAGACACCAGTTTCTCCTCTGAATTCCCGGGGACCGAGCTGATCCGCTGGAGTTTCATGGGTAAATCCCCCATGCTGTAGGCCTTCTCAGAGGTGGTAGAACTCATCCTGAGGAGTTTTTTGGGGAAGTCTTCCCTCCCGGTTATTTTCTGCAGTTTTGAAGGTAGTTTTGTGCCAACTTCGTCAAGACCATCCAGGCACTCCACCGAGTTATTCCTTTCCTTGCTGTTGCTCACAGCGGGCGCTATCAAGGGCGAGGACATGAGCAGCATCTCCTCCTGTTCCTTCACGCTGTATGGCGGCGTGGGGACCTCAAACGTCGCGTGGAACTGGGAGTAATCGACTTTAAAGAATCCCTCTTCCAAGGAGATAACGGGGAAGAACCGATGACCCCAGAGCACCTCGTCCTCGGTATAGGATGTCCTGGCTTGGCACGTCATCCCTGCAACGAGCAAGGGAGAAAAACTCCCACCAGTTATGGACAATTGCAGATGCACATAAATTGGGGGGGGGAGGGGGGGGGGGTTGAACATTTCAGTGAAACATATTTTATGTTTTTAAACGCAGAAAAGAAAAGGCATTGGCATGCCTACCAGTTACATACAGTAGCTATTAAACCGTCATCCTCAAGGTGGCAATAGGGGAAGGAGTGCAACTGGATAATTCACATGGACCATCACAGGTGCTTCTGAAGGTGCCGCTGACAAAGGGAAACACAGGGCTAACTGATAACCCCGGTAATACATTAGCAAAAGATGCTAATTGTGATGTAAAGTCAGACTTGTCAGGACCTTAAAGCGTTACTAAGTTATTCCACATTTCCATCCTCTTGACAAACGCGTACAAAACCAGGCCCTACGCCTTCTGCATCGTATGGGCAAACCAAGCCCCTGGTAGCGCATTCCGACCCACCAGCGAGCATCAGGTACGTCCTACGAAATACATTTTTTCCTCTTTAAGGGCTTCAGCAGCAATCTGCTCGCAGATCCGTCGCCGCCAGGCTGAGATCCAAGCTCCAAAAAATTAGCAGGGAAGAGAAAATATGACTAAGAGGCACAACGCTGCCCTTGCCCTTCCTCCCCTGCCTCCCTCCTCCCCAGTACCCAGACTTGGCCATGGCGGTGTCCCATCCGGCCTTGGAAACCAGAGGGAAACGGTGACTGTGGATCGTTGGAGGCTTCTAGAAGGAATCCTGCTGCTTTTTGGGTTGGGTTTTTTTTTTATTTTTTTTAAATGGTATCTGTAGCAATCTGCAAATAGAATTACCCTGCCATTTCACCCTAGTATCGCAAACGGGAAATATAACATTTGGTTTTCAGGAAGCTAAATCTACCTCTGCAAACACATCCTCTGCTTAGCTGGCAAGAATGCCTTTAAGTCAGGAGAAAATTAAAGGAAACTTTGGAAGGCACAAGAAAAACGACAGCGGGGCTGTAGCGAGGGGGAGCGGGGGATGGATACGCGCCTGGTGACATACAGCCAGAAAAATAGCATTTTATTACGCTTTATGTTACTGCTAATGGAATCAAAATTTTAGTTTTGCATGGCGATTTCTACCGCTAATGCATCGGAGTATAACACAAGACATAAAACTCAGTTTTCTGTTTTATCTCTTTGGAGAAAAATACGAACGCCGGGTTTTTTCCCACCGAACGCCGCTCCCACGGCCCGGGAAGGCGCCTCACCTGAGCTCACCCACCTGCAGGAGCATCCCCTGAGACCACGCAACCCCCCCCTCCCACAGCCTCAGAGAGGGCAGCGCTCTGTCCTTTATGGTGTGTTTTTCACCCGGTCACCATGTGTTTCGGTTCTGTTTACTAAGTGAAGTGGAAGCAATCAGATACCTAATGGGTTTAGAAAAAAACCCCACAATTTTTAGAAAAAATGGTAATTAGAGTGAGTACTTCTTCCATCTGTGTCCTTTACTCTGCAGCTGTTCATTAGCCGCACCTTCGCCGCGGAAGCCCAGACCTTTCCCCCTCTGCTTCTTCAGACCCGACTTCCGAGGGAGACCTTATTAGCCAACGAACGTGTCTAATAAGGCATGCAAATGGCGGGAGCCGCGTTTGGAATTGGCTCCACGGTACCTGGGAAGCAGATGGCTGGTTAACTCCGGTGACCTGCGCTTTAGATAACAAATTGCTTAAAATGCAAATCTCTCTGTACAGAAAAGTTGATAATCGCTGCCCTCGCTGCGCCATGGGCTTTGCTGAGGGAGGGGGGGTCACACCTCCGGCATGATCCCATGGGGACACCGCCGGGGCGGCCAGCCCGGCCACGGCCACGCTGCTCTGCAGAGAGCTGACTGGTGGGTGGAAATCCCTCGCACGGCTTTCGCTTTGCATTGGCAAAACTAAGAAAAAAAAAGAATTAAGCTTTATTGTAAAAGGTGTGCTGTCAAAATGTCATGGGGGTGTAACAAGGGGCAGGGGGGGAACACACAGATTATCAACACTATTGGGGCTCAGGGAAGGGGACTAGTGCACAGGACTGGCCGGCACCTGCATCCCCATCCCATCTGCATCCCCATACCCATCCCATCCCATCCCCATCTCCAACCCATCCCCATTCCATCCCACCCCACCCCATCCCATCTCCATCCCATCCCCATCCCCATCTGCCCCCTCATCCCTATCTGCCCCCCCATCCACATCTGCCCCCCCATCCCTGTCTCCATCCCCATCCCATCTGCATCCCCATACCCATCCCATCCCATCCCCATCTCCAACCCATCCCCATTCCATCCCACCCCACCCCATCCCATCTCCATCCCATCCCCATCCCCATCTGCCCCCTCATCCCTATCTGCCCCCCCATCCACATCTGCCCCCCCATCCCTGTCTCCATCCCCATCCCATCTGCATCCCCATACCCATCCCATCCCATCCCCATCTCCAACCCATCCCCATTCCATCCCACCCCACCCCATCCCATCTCCATCCCATCCCCATCCCCATCTGCCCCCTCATCCCTATCTGCCCCCCCATCCACATCTGCCCCCCCATCCCTGTCTCCATCCCCATCCCATCTGCATCCCCATACCCATCCCATCCCATCCCCATCTCCAACCCATCCCCATTCCATCCCACCCCACCCCATCCCATCTCCATCCCATCCCCATCCCCATCTGCCCCCTCATCCCTATCTGCCCCCCCATCCACATCTGCCCCCCCATCCCTGTCTCCATCCCCATCCCATCTGCATCCCCATACCCATCCCATCCCATCCCCATATCTACACCCCATCCCCATCCCCAGGAGATCCCCCAGACGATGCTGCTCGCCCCGAGTTGGGGCTGGGCTCTCCCACCCCCTCCAGCCGCCGCGCTGCAGGGTTATTTCTACCTCCTGATCTATCACCCTGCCTCTCCCAAACTGCTGCCGCCAGCAGGCTTTCAAAGGAGGAATTTTATACCTGCTTCCTATCGAAAAAGGTATTAGCTGAATCTCAGGAAAATCAGCTTCATATTTTGTGCCGCTGATGTAACCCCTTGTAAGCTCACTGGAGAGATAAATATTTGCAGGTATATAATTTTTCTTTAAAATCAATTTACCTTCTTCACTAACAATCGCGAGGGTGCAAATTATTTAATAGCCTCTCAGGATGAACAGCGGCAACTAATACGCTCCTCATTACAGGGCACACCTATCACGCTACGCAGACGATGCTGAGAGGTGCTAACGTGCTCTGATAAGCCCTGGGACAAGAAACCAATTCTCCTATTTTCCTCCTGCGCCGCTGCATTCCCCGGCCCTTCCTTCCCCTTCCCTTTGGTCGGCAAAGCCTCAGACCCAGCCACCAGCTCTGTGACGCCTTCCAGCAGCCACCCCCGGCTGTGACCATCTCCTTTGTATTATCACAGCCATAACAACGGCGTTGCAGAAGGCACTCGGAGCCATTATCCACGTCCCTGTGCAGAACAAGCAGCAGCTCTTCACATGCGTCCTACCGCTCCCTCCTCGGGTGCGTTAAAGCCGGCAGTGGTGCTGGGGACGGGCACGGTGCTCGGGGCTGCCAGCCCGCACGGTGCCGGGCTCTGCGTACCGCAACGGGAGCACCTCCGAGCATCCAAAAGCCGTCCGCAGCTCCCCACAAGGGTAGACCCAACCACCGCCACGGCGGGGTCATCCACCGCCCACGGCATCAGCGTGGCGGGGGAAAACGCATCGCCCGCTGCTCGGCTCTCCCCTTGCCTGCGTCTCCAGCAGGCTGCCCGGACAGGGCAGCACCAAACCCCAAATCAGCCCGGATTCCCACATTTTCCTATCAAAAAAGCAGGCGCAGCTGGGTGCAACCCGCCACCGACAGCCGCTCTTGATAACTACCTCAGGATTATTTTCCATTAATTTATGCTTGGATTAATACAAGCCTCTTATTTTAATGCCGAAGTAGTTTTTTTCTGACCTGTAAACCCTAAGACGCATAAAGCAGGAGGAGGCACGGGGTCGGGCCGCTGATGGACGCCCAGCAGGGGACCACAGGCTGTGGTGGCCACGGGCTCACGTCCAACAACCTCTAACAGACCAGGGCATTAACGGCAGGTTAATAAGTCCTCCCCCCCTTTCTGTGGGTATGAAAGGCTTTTTGGGTTTTTGTGCTAGTTTTCCTTTTCCCTAAGAAGTCTCTCATCACCAAGGTGGGCAGCCAGCAGATCCCTCCATGTCTTCATCATGTTAATGGCCCCGTTAAAATTTTACCAAGTTGTCTATATTATTAATATTCATTGGCCGTATAAATTTTAAACTCTCGTTTGGAAGCAAACAGGCTGTACGCAGTGCCTATAATTAAAAAGCCATCCGTTTGTCAAAGGAAAAGGTTTCGATACGTTTTGTTCGTCACTCCTCACACACACACTTCCATCCCGAAGCGCTCTCCGGAGCCGTTAGCGACCGGCGATCACAACGCGCATTAGCGAAGCTCTGCCTGCCTGCGAATCGCAGCAACGCACCTGAAAAAGAGGGACGCTCGTGCGTCTATTCCAGCCGAAAACCCAAACCCAATGTCCAATAAAAACCCCTCTCCGTTATTTCAAAACCAGAGGCTGCAAAAGCCTCGTTCGCTATGCCCACGGGCAGAGCTTTTCCCCCAGCAGCACGGCTCCTAAGGGGACAAGCAGCGCTATTTTGTCTGAACACCCCGTACCTTCACAAACCCCACTCCTGCGTATTCGGGGCCGCCCCCACCCCGATCGCCTCTCGCTGTTTCCAGGAATTGCGTTCCTGCTGCAGAAACCAGAAGCTGACTCTGTTTGCAAAGTTGTTATGAATAAAGCGCTTAAAGGAAGGCAAGGGCAAAGTTCTGGGACTCATCTCCTCATGGGCAGAGGCTGAAATGGCCTTAGAGAGAACTTTAGTATCAGATGTTATTAGAAATTTTGCTACTGATTAAATTCAGTCATTTACACCCACCCGCAGTGACCTGGCATCCATCCGTGGACTCCGG